GGGGCCGGGGAGGCACCGGAGAGCACTGAGCTCTGGGGGGGCACGGGCGGCTTTGGTGGGAGGGTTCTGCTGCAACCCTTCGCCGGGAGGACAGAGGTGCCGTCCAGCTGTGCACAGCCCTATGGGCAACTCCAGCTGTGCACAGCCCTACGGGCAGGTCCAGCTGTGCAGCCCTGCTGCTGGTGGTTGCCCAGCGGGGCAAGCAGGACCTTCCCAAGGACTTCTCCCACCCAGGCCAGGGCCAGCAGGTCAAGTTAGAGATGTGTGTGACTCTTGGCGCCGCCTTCTCCTGCCCCAACCGCTTCGGAGCCGGAAAACATTTCCGTTCCAGGAGTTGTTCCCTGGGGCGAGCGGAGGTTTCAGCCTGAATTATGCTGAAAGGAGAATTGAGCCTGGGTTGCCTTTGTGCTGGGTGACTCAGTAGGTGCCGGATTATTTCGGGCAGGAGGGAAAACAGCAGCCAAGGAGAGAGAACAACCTTTGCTTAACCCCTTGTAGGGTTGGTGGGAACCGTCCTCCGTACCCGTGAAAAACTTTTTCTGCGCCACGGCGGCGGGCGTTTGGGGTTTCTCCTTTATTTCCCAGCCTGGAGAAACTGTGACGCCGTGAAATCAGAGGACGACGTTTGGAGTCAGTGATTTTTTTATTTTTTTTTGGCTTGAGGTCAAATCCCCGGAGGGCTGTGCCCGCGTATCCAGCTCCTCTCTGCTATTCAAGGGGAAACGATGGTAGGACCGGTAGCCGGCTCTTGCGCAGCCCGATTTTCCTCCTCTCTCCCGTGTCCAGAACAGACCAGCTTGGTGATGGCCAGGGACGGGGCATCTGCTGATGCTCCTCACGCTTACAAGGTGGAGAGGAGTAAAGGAAAGCGATACGAGTTTTTATTATGTTGCTCTTCACATTTATAAATCACCTAAGAACTAGAGTCCTAAGTAGTAGCCCTGGGGCACTTAAAGCTCCCGCGTTAAATTTCTTTACCCTTCTTTATAGTTAATTTCTAATTTGGCCTTCTGTTGTCTGTCTGGCAGAGAAGGTGATGGGATGCGGAGACGTCCGCTGCTGCGGATCCACCGGGACAGTTGTGCTCCATGCGGCTCTGGGTGGGAAGGACGTTCCTCCTCCCCCACAGCAGTAAATATTTCAAGTTGCCTCATTCAATTTTATTAGCGAATGAGGCAGGTAAGAAACGCGCTAGGCTGAGCGCTCTGCCCGGTGGCGCTGCCATACCCGGGGTTGGGATGACTCAGGGAACACAAGGGTTTGGCCGGCAGCATCGGCACGGTGCGGGCAGGGCTGCGGTTACGGAGCCAAACTGCGGAGCCCCGAGACCTCGAACTTAACTGTTTGAAGAATAAATTAATTTTTAAGTGAAATATTAGTGTAGATGATCTGTAAGCTTTGAAAAGCGCGACCACTTTTTGTCTGTTCCACTGCGAGCCCATCCACACCCTCCGTGCTCCGTAACTGGCTTAATTATTCCTCTGTGCCGACCTTAATTGGTTCCAGAGTTTTCAAATGCTCTCGTTAAAAATCAGGGTGGCTGATGTGCAGCTGGGAGCTCGCTGGCTGCCCGGGACGGGGCTGGAAGCCCACGTTTTGAGATAAGAGACGCTCCGTTCAGAGCAAGGCAGCTGACACTGGATGTCACCATTGTACAGCGCAAACCCAGTCGAAGGTTCTCACCACTTTATTCTCCCCGTGTGATACAGAAGGGGGGGGAAAAAAAAAAGCCTTCTATTTTGTTTACCAGGTTTGTGTGTTGTTTTTTGGTTTTTTCCTGAGCGTTGTGATAACAGTCAAGCTTTGTGCTGCTTCTTACATCTAAGCAGGAGCGGGGGTTAATCCTCCTGAACTTGATTAAAACCAGTTCTGCTCTGGCGTAGTCGTTGGGAGCGTAGAGCCACGCGTGGACCGAATTCCCCGACGGCAGTGGGATTACCGGGTGCGGGATAATTGAGTTTGGTTTATAGATTTCGCAGGCGGATGGCAAAAGTTCCGGGTTGTTCTTAGTTAAACTGCAGGAATGTGTCAGTTATTCACTTATTTTCTGCCTGGGAGCTCTGGCCACGTGTTTCCTGAAATAATAACGGATTGGGGTGTAGGCTGCTAGCAAAAAGTAATTGAAGTCTTCAGTGAAAATAATGTGTGAAAGTATCTCTTTCCCCATCATTTAAAAAAAAAAATACAGACACCTGATTATTTTTTTTTTCTAAGTGGTCCTTAATGTTTGGTGCTTTAAGCTTGCAGTGCCTCCTTGGCTCCAGTATGGAGCTGAGATGGAATGAAATGGGATGGAATAATGGGATTATTTCCCATCCCTCTATAATGAAACAAGCCCCTCTCTTCTCACCCTTGTCCAGACCAGAGGAACGCACGGATAGTGATGACTACCCTGCTACTCACTGAGCAAATAACACAAGAAGACCGCGGCTCGGAGGGAAACTACGTCCTTTATGGATCCTCGTGTTCCCAAATCACCGAGGAAGCTGAATATGTGAAAAAGGTATTTCTGTGGCTGTCACTGTTCTGTTCCTCTTTGCTTCGGCAGGAAACAGGGTGAGCGAAACTAATAACGAATGGAAGAGACAATTCTGACATGCGTGGTGATACGTGCTTGGAAAACCTTTTGGTTTACACATCAATTCTAGAAATACTGGTGGTGTGTGCTAATATACCTGCAAGTTTTTCTTGGAAGCCGTTTGCTATGTAGTATCATAGAATGGTTTGGGTTGGAAGGGACCTTAAAGATCATCCAGTCCCCCCCTCTGCCATGGGCAGGGACCCCTCCCACCAGCCCAGGTTGCTCCAAGCCCTGTCCAACCTGGCCTTGAACACCTCCAGGGATGGGGCAGCCACAGCTTCTCGGGGCAACCTGCCCCCGGGGCTCACCACCCGCACAGCAAAGAATTTCTTCCTCATATCTCATCTAAATTTCGGCTCTTCCAGTTTGAAGCGATTCCCCCTCGTCCTGTCACTCCATGCCCTTGGAAAAAGTCCCTCCCCAGCTCTCCTGGAGCCCCTTTAGGCACTGGAAGGGGCTTTGAGGTCTCCCCTTTTTCACCTTCTCTTCTCCAGGCTGAACCACCCCAACTCTCCCAGCCTGTCCTCCCAGCAGAGGTTCTCCAGCCCTCCCAGCATCTTTGTGGCCTCCTCTGGCCCCTCTCCGACAGGTCCATGTCTTTCCTATGTTGGGGCTCCAGAGGTGGACACAGCACTCCAGGTGGGGTCTCCCCAGAGCAGAGCAGAGGGGCAGAATCCCCCCCTGGCCCTGCTGGCCACACTTCTGATGCAGCCCGGGATGTGGGGGGCCTTCTGGGCTGAAGCTGAGTGGTACAGCTGGGCTTGGTCCGTGGAAGAGCTGAGGAAGCTCCAGAGCAGGGAGAAACCTTATCTGAAGCAGAAGTATTGGTGTGACGTACCTGGAGGATCAGTATCTCGAAAGGTGGAGGATGACCCGTGGGACAGGCAGGTCCTGGAGGTGTCAGTTGGCAAACGGAGAGCACAACGTGCAGTGGTTTTGAGATGCGTGAAATAGTCTTGGGTTGTTCCTTTTCTCAATGTCTGAAGAAATGAAAGAAGAATGGAGATTAATTAATGCCTTTAATGTGTGTAATGACAGAAGAGAAGACCTCAAACTTTAGATTGAAATGAAATACGATTTCTTCCTTCCCTTCACAATTACCTTTATGAAGTTGCAGAAGAAACGCTGCAGCTTTGAATCTGAAAGCGTTGTGCTGAATTCGTAAGCATCTCGCAATATAAAATCATTGCCATGCAGCAATAACTGAGAAAAAAAGCATATTCCACGGTGGTGACACCGACTCCTGAAGGGCGTGGGAAGCGGTGCCGTGCTTGATGCCGACACCACTGTGAATAGGTAGGACATGCCCCGTTGGTTTTGGGTTGGTTGGTTGGGTTTTTTTGTAAATAAGAGATCTTGTGAGCAACGAGACTCAGCTCAGCGGATCCGATACCTCATTTCTTTGCTCTAAGCAGCAGAACGGGGTGATGATAATGGGCAAAGGCGGTTTTTCTTCCCGCATCCCGGCTAAGCCCAGGAGCGCGCTGTGCGCCGAGGGAGAGGAAGGATCAGTGGGCTGAACGTGGCTAATTAAGAAATAACCGTTCACAAGACGTTCTTTTTAAAAAATGCCTACTCCTTTCTCCGTTCAGCTGAGGAATGAGGTGGAAGAAAAGCCTCTGCAGTGAAAAGAAGGTGATTTATAGTTTAAACCCTTTAAAAAGTACAGCCTGCCCTTTGTTCGCAGTAGTTTATTTTTAACAAATGGACTTGGCGTAACGGCAGAAAGGATGCCAGTGCGTTCTGGCCGAAGGCTGACCGATGGCAGGTCGTGTTCCTTGCGCGTACCACCTCTCACCCCAGCCAGGAGGCGAGCACACATCTGCAGACACCTCTGGGGGGGAAAAGGGGTTTAAGCAACTTAAAACCCCTTTAAACGAAGCGGGTTCGAGCAAAGAGGCAGCCCCTAGGAAGCCAAAAGATTGGGAAATGTTAACAAATAAAATAAGCTGGAGTAAGAAGTAATTCTTTTCATGGGAAGTGTTGGGCAGTGGTTGCTCACGTGTGTTTCTGCAGCCTCGCCTACAACGCAACGCATGGCGCGATATTCTAAAAGGTAATTAATCTTATACCTGTGGAATAACGCTGTAGAGAGTGGGAGAGAGTTATTAACTGGAATCGCCGTGGAAAGCCCCAGGGAGCTGAACAAGCGGAACATTTTCACTCCAGTTGAGTGGTGGAGGTGTTGGAGCTGTGCTGGCTGCTGCCCGCGCGCACCTCGGACCCCATTCCCTGGAGAGGGGCGGTTCTTTGAAGCCAGGTCTTTCAGACTCGGACCAATCGCTCCAGCTGGTTTTCTATTTTTTGGGGTTTTTTTAATAATTTCCATGTGCGTTTCCTTTAGCAGCTTCCTCAAGTCTCGGGCAGTGAAGCGGAGTCGAGGAGCGGCGGCTGGAGCCGCAGTCCCGTTGCGACCACGATGAAGGAAACAGAAGAGCAGCTGCTGGTGGTGAGCAGGGAGAACCAAGTGCTGAAGATCAAGGTGTGTTTGGTTATTGGTTTGGGGTTTTTTTTAAGGTTTCAGGTGAATATATGTGCCTTGCAGCCCAGTTAGAGTCAGGTCCCAGCCCGGTGCCTTTCCTTCGGGGAAGGGGCAGGCTCCTCTTCGCTTCCCCGGTTGCTGCAAACTCTCGCGTTCCAGCAGGCAGCAAAATTCACGTCAAAATTGGCTTCTGGGGACACATCCCATTTGTGAGACAGCAGGGTCAGCTCTGTTGGTGGCTGATAGAAGATATATTTACAGGCGGTTGGAAGCGCATCTCTCCTTTTAAACCATCAGCCTCCGTTTGTCATGGGGGGATGGCTCAGTATGGAACAAATCCGCCTTTATTTGGAAACTAAAATGGCACTCTGGTATTGCCCACAGGTGTTGAGGATTCCTTCCTTCCTTTCTTTCTTTCTTTCTTTCTCGACGAGGGTAAATCCTGACATTTGATCTTGTAGAGAGGGCTTATTTTGCAGCACGCGATGATAACATTGCTTTTTTTTTTTTTTAAAAAGCGCAATGTATACGTGTTGTACAATTACTCGTTTTAGCTGGAAGCCACGAGAGAAGCGGGGGTACAGGCGCTCAGATCTGCATCCCAGAGACTGTATGAGAATTACCAGACTCAGTCAGAAGAACTGAAAAAAAGCCACGAGAATGAGAAGAAGCAAATAGAGGTACGAATCTCCCCCACGTATGGGCACGACCGTCCCGGGGCTCTGCCTCTCTGCGCTGCAAACTTTGACCTAGGACCTACCGAGGGTCTTCTGCTAGAGCAGCGGGGAACTTAAATAGGAAAATTAAGAAGTATTTTGGGTTTATTTGGCTCAAAATTCCTTGAGGTCTGTCTCCGTCCATCCGCTGCGTTCACCGGCTCTCATTAATGCCTTTCTTGCCCTCCCCCCAAGGCCTACAACCTCCAACAAGAAGAGAAGCTCCAGCAAAGCTCAGAAAAGGCCGGCCGTCTTGCCGAAGGCATCAGGGAAAAATGTACCCGCATCGCAGAGATGGAGAAACGCGTGCAAAGGATGGAGGAGGTATGTCCACCCACTCATCACGCCCATCCCAGCACCGGGACTCGGCGTAGGTGAGAAACCTGCCCTTGGAGTTCATTGCTTTCAGGGTTTTGGGTATGCTGGTTGTTGGGATTTGGGACTAAAAAGGCTTCTGCCGTGTCACACCAAATTGAGAACCTTTAGCTGTAACTAGAAATAAAACGTGCGATTTGAGCTCCCTCCTTCCCTTATTTCACAACTTGCCTAAAACTTGTAGAGCGTCACGGAGAAGTCTTAATTTGTAGCTATTAATGATTTCTACTCCTGAAGAGTTTCGCCTTCCCTCATGGGTGTACTTCTAGGATTTGAAATGAAGACGTAGCCATCCTGGCACTAAAAACTACTCCGTAACTCTCAGAAAAATGCCCCTGTAAGCATCCGAAAGCCCGGGCAGGTGAACAGCTGCCGTCGCGATCTGACCCCTGTGTGCACAGAAACCTACAGAAAACAACTTCTCCTGCGTTGTGAATTTGCTTTGGTGGTTTTAGTTGGGCTGGAAGGCGCAACGGGCTCCGCGTATGGTATTTTCTGATGTATGCCCTCACTAGGTGTGGGAATTTCTCCTCTGGAAGTGCCATTTTAAAACTAAATTTTCCCTGTCTTGGGATTCCTGTAATGACAGGGTCACCGAGTGTATTTCCACCCCCATCATACATAGGTAATCTTTCTGATATGAAGAGTTTTATCATCGGTTTTGTTCAGATTTTTCCCTCTGTGGACAAGGTTTTGAGAGGTGGACGTAGCAGTAACGCGGTATCTCATGGCTGTTGAACATGGATTCTCACAAGACCTAAGGATTGTGGTAATTAATTAAAGGAAAGAAGTGCCCTTTTAACAGAGTGGTGGTTATTGCTGAGTTCCATCTGTTTTCAGACCCTGAATGGAACTGTTGAAGGCACAGCCAAACTTCTCTTGCTGAGCAAACAGTAGGAATCGTAACACAACTTTTATCTGACTGTCTTTCCTTAGGAAAAGAAAACTCTGATAGAGAAGAAGATGTCATTTGAAAAGATGCTGCAACAGATGATGTCAAGGAATGAAGATGGCAAATGGTGATTAAATACACGCGATAAAGTCTTTTTCTTTCTTTCCGGGGGATTATTTCACATAGAATATGAGACAATCACTTGCTCAAAGTTCCTTCTGGTAGTAAAATTATTCATGAAGAAAGCAACTGGTTAAAAACCTGATTTATCGTGATTGCTTGAAGCAGCCAAGACAAATGTTGGTGTCCTACAGCTCTTAGATGTTGATTCTGCTCAAATTCCTAGTACTTTTCCTTCTACCTCACGCGCACTAATTACTTCCCTCTCCTGATCCTCGCGTGGAATCGATGCTGCTTTGGTGACATTGTGCACGCAGTAGGTAAGGCAATAGCCTTCATTATTTGTGAATTTACTTATCAACAGCTAATGAGGGTGGTCCTACCAGGCAAAATATGTCTCAAACTATGGTTTTATTTGTTCTGCTTAATAAAGAAGCCTTTATACGTATAGTTCCGTATGAATTACAGCTCTCTATCCTCAGGAACACCCGTGCGAGCGACAAGCTCTTGAGCTGACCCCGAGGTGGGCAATGGGTCGGCGATGGCTGGGGACTGAACCGGGGGGTGCTCTTCTCTCGCCCGCAGGTGCCTACATCTCCAGAGGCAGATTTCCACCCTGCAGGAGCAGATCAGCCACCTGCAGCGCGTGATCCAGGCACAGCATCACAGCCTGCGCGGTGCGATCCAGGAGGTCAGGCTGGCGTGGCCGTCCCACCGGGAAGGTCTTCCGCGGTCGGAAAAAGAACTGGGAAATGCTGGGCTGTGGGCTTTTATAAGTGTGTGCGTCCTGCGGAGGAGCAGCATGCTCGTCACGCTGTGCCTGGTTTTGCGCACCCTCCGTTCAGCCATCCATACGCATTCTAACATTCAGGTGGAAATGGCATCACTAAAAATGGGGTTATTGCGGCAGAGTCGGTGATGTCAGGCAGAGCCCCAGGTTCTCCAGAGCGTTCCCGAGTGCTCCCCGCTCCATGCCGTGTTCCCGGAGGGGACTTGGCTGACCCAGGGATGTTCTGCCGGAGGCACCGGCCCTGCAGCTGGTTTCACATGAAGCCAGCGAAGCCAACAGGTTGACAACCTGGAAAGGCTGCAATGACGTTTAAAGCAATCAGCCTGCTTCCCAAAGTCACGACATGACGTGAGCCGTTGTTGTACTTACCGCCTGCTTTTGTAGGTCTGAACTCGGCCGTACTCCCCTCGCCTCGCAGGCTGCTTGTCTTTTCCCAACCAGCTAACGCAAGGTCCCACGCTAATTCGCTTTTGCAATTGGGTTTCTGCACATATGCCAACAAGAGGTAGACTTGTTACCCTAAGGAAAACATGACCCTGTCTGTTGAGAAATTGCTTTATAAATTGGTTAATCAATTAGTTTGAGTTCTTCTGCAGTAAAAGACTACGGACTTGAATGTTCTGCAATTCCCCTGGTACGGTCAGATGTTTAACTCCGTGGTTTTGTTCGACACAGAGAGATGGTTTGATGTATTAAAGCTTCCGATCTCTTACGAACTTTATTTCCTAACTCTCAGGCAGAGGAACTGAACAACGAACTCAGAAGTCAAGATAAAAAAATAGAAGACCTGACAGAGAAGCTGACTGCGCTGGAAGCACAGGTAAAATCCAAAAGTAAAAAGATATATTGAAGGGAGAGAGCAAAAGGAGTACTCTGCAGTCAGGGGGCCCTTCACACTGGTGGGCTTGTGTCAGTGCGATGCTGTTGGGGTGGTATTTTTTTTTTGCACGGCATCTTTTACTTGGTTTGAAAAAAAAACCCCAAAACACAAAAAAAGAACCCCCAAACCCACAGAAATCCTCCCCAAACACCCAAAAAAACCTTTCTGGAGGAGCAGCAGGTCCTAGCTGGCATCCAGGCTTGTCTCTCGTCTGCTACGTTCTGCTGAGAGGGGTTTATTTTCTTTTTTTTTTCCTTGCAGAATAAAGAACTTAAAGACAGAGTGGAGCTCTGGTCTGGCCAGCCCAAGGTTAAAGTTTCAAAAGCTGTCTGGACAGAGTAAGTACCTCGGAAGGTACTGCGGAGCGTGGGAACGGCTGAGCCTGTGGCTCTCGCAGGCCACCTCTGGTGTCCCCGTGGGGCTTTGAGTGAGCTGAGCCAGGACTTGCTGGGAGCAACCCAACTTCATCCCGCGGCAAAAAAGAGAGGAAAAACCCAAACTCTGTTTCAAAGTTCGTAGCTGGTTGGTGTGGGGGTGGTAACCCAAGCCCCGACTCCCACGCAGCCGTCCCGCTCGGACGGGGTGTGCTCAGCACATCAACCAGGGGCTTCTGCAGGAGACCGTCCATCCCTTCAAGATGAAACCGGAGCTTTTCCTGGGGGATACAGTCTTTTGCTGGAGTAGATCTAAACACGAGTTTCTGCTCTCAGCAGAACAGGCGTTTGAAATCAGCTCCTCCATATCCAGGCCCATAGTTATAAACCTCTGACTTATTTCATGTTGGGTTGTGGGTTTAAACCTGGTTCGGGCAGATGAAGGATGTCTAAGTGATCTCTACCTTCTTGTGCTTCACTCCTCAGCGCCCCACGAGATTTTGGAGCTTCTGGAGCGTCCCCTTACCTGATGCTCACCAGGCTGAGGAAGGAGAGCTAAAGGCACGACCGGACATTTATTTCCTACCTTTGTCAGAAGGACTTCTTCTGCGTGTCGCAACCTGTAACTCCCACGGACTCTTTGTTACTGCAAAGCGCCTTCAGCACACGCTGCCTCTCTACCACATGCGGTGCGGAAGCGATGCTCCAGAGCTGCGCTTGAAAGAATAAACCTGGAAAGAAGGCGAGAGCTGATGTGAGAGGTGGCAAAGGCAGCCCCGGCCGTGTCCAGGGGGTGCCACGCTGCCGGAGCAGCTCTGCGCCTGCCCTGCACAAAGGGCTCCCTCCCTCCAGACTGCGGCAGACACTCAGCTTAAGCGTGACTCTCATTTAGGTAAGACTGTAAAATAAACCTCTGGCTACCGGGCACGTTGTTACAGTCGCCGCAGAGGATGGAGGTGGTCCTGCCCTTTCAGGCGCTCGACCCGGCGGGCACAGCAATGTCACAGCGTCCTTGGGCGAGGAGCGAGCAGGTCCCTCTCTGGGTTAACCTGGCTCTTACTTTCCTGAAAACTTTCCATGGCAAATAGTAAGTTTTTTGCCCACGTCAGCGGGAGTGTGAAGTTCCTCCTTGAGCCTTCCCACCGGCTGAAATCCCTTTGGCAGGGGAAAGCCGCTGCTGCAGGTGGGAGGGCTGGTTTTGATCCTCCCCGGCATGGGAGAGGTGCTGTGGTGTCAGCGATCTCCCTCTTGGAGAGATGTGGCACACCTCGGGAGCCGAATGGTGTCCCCAGGGGAGCGACAGCAGCTTTGCACACTCACATTTACTGCCACGCTGCGGGAGAAGAGGGAATCTGAGAACGGCCGTTGTCCCTGGTCTGTCTTCTGATCCCTGACGTGCGGACAGAGCAGCATTTGGAAAAAAAGAAAAATAAAGAGAAGTGTTGATATTTAAATAAGGCTTAAAGGTACTAAGTTTCAGTTTGTTCTTTTTCATATCTAACTTCAGATAAGTTGGTGTCAGTCCAGGCTTAACGCGGCTGAGGTGCAAATAAAAGGTTGGCACCCACTTAACAGCGGGGTGAGGCCGGTTGTGCGTTTCGGCAGGCGCGGGCTGCCGGGTTATACTTACATACTCACCATTTAAGAGGGTGAGCTTTGTGAATTGTACCATTTCCCGGTCAAGTGTGGGTAAGGAGTTGGGGGTCAGTCCTTTCCCATCCCTCTGAGCTCAACGTGAAGTCGGGGTGCTGCCCCGCGGCGAGGTTTGCAAACGCAGCCCTGCTTTCCCTGGACCTCCACGTTTCCGCGAGCTGCCAGACTGCTAACACCGTCTGTGCCTCTCGGGGTGACGCCTCTGCTCCCCCCCGTCCCAAAAAAAGAGCCGAGACGCCCAATTTAAAAATGTACTTTTATTCTGAAAATAACAGTGCAGAAACTGAGTCACAGGATACATTCCTCAGCTGTATTACACAAACCCAGACACCAGTGAATCAGTTGACGGTATGTTTTGAAGCCACGGGTACTTTGGTACAACGGAGTGACATTAACATCGGAAAGCAAGCGCCACGGTCCAATCAAGGGGCGTCTCTAATAAAAAATACTATTTGTGTTCAAGATGATAGTTTCAATCACAGTCATAGCACTAGGCATAGCACAGATCTGTTGAAAGACAAACGGAAAACATGCTTACAGTAGCGTAACAGAAGGAAACACTCGAAAGGCAATCAGTACAGGATGCTTAGTGTTTATCCGGAAGGTGAAAGATACCTTAACAAAACCAAAGAAGAACCATTTAACTTCCATAAGTAAGTTGAGTAAGATACAACAGGCTTCTAAATATACAGTTTGTCCGTTAAGCCCTATTGCACGATGAGGATGGACAACTTCAGGGTCTATTTTCTAAAGTTATGTTTTAACTCGGTAACCGTATGGAACAAAAGCACATAGCAAAGGATCATTTCCTCTGTTGCTTTGAACTAGTTTAGATAGAAATAATAATAATAATAAAAAATTAGAAACAGATCTGCCCAGCATCAAAGAGAATAGTCCCAAGTCAACAGCATCCTCTGGGAAACAAAAAAAACCCCAAACGTAAAACTTATCCTATATGGGTGTGGGTTATTTTGGGAGAGAGAATTTATAGTGGAAGAATTAAGACAGGAAAGAAGCTGTGAAAATTTGGTGGCTTTCTCTTTAAAGATGTCTCAAGCCAGGTCTCCTAGCAGTCAGGTAAAAAAACTATTCATTTTCACAGCCTGACATCAGTTACAACACTTTTTTTTTTTTTTTTTTTTTTTTTCTTTTCTTTGTAAGATCAGAGCGTGGTCTGAAACTCCTACAGTGTTCACACCTATATAAAAATAGCAGTCACTCGAGGTTATTTTTACACTTGCTACTTTTCTTCAGTTATAGTGCCAAGAATACAAATTTTTCAATAACAGCTCCAAATTTTTTATTTCTTTTTTAAAGTTTAGGCTGCAAACTTTAGTCGTATCCATGGGATTGAAATAGTTCTAGGAGATAAAACCTCTTACCTTGAAACAGTCCCAAAGAGTCACTACGGCACAGGTATCAAAATCACATCTCATACAGCTTTTAATAAGCTTTCTTTCGTGACCCAATCCTCTAAAATGTAAACGTAGGTATGACATCCCTTCACACATTCAGAATGTTAAAGAAGATGTAGCCTTCAGAAAACAGTTAAGGCAATCGGTTTTATAAAGTTACCAAGCCAGCGAGGAAATGGCAGCTGCTCTCAAATTCTCTTTTGCTACATCATACCCACTGCCAGTCTCAGCCGTGCGAGCAGGTAGCAAATTGCCTGGGTTTGCCTTATGTCTCCCCTTTTTTTTAAAAAAAACAAAAAAACATGTTTCAAGCACCCAAAACCCCTTTTTCCTTTTTTTTTTTTTTTAAAGAAGCGAACACCTTTCCTCTTGCAACCGTCTGTAAAAAGCCACAGAAGGCAAAGGCTATAGAAAAGACGAGAGTTACTTAAGCCCCTGCTACTTGTTTTTTGTAGTGCCGCTACTTCTCTTAGGGGCAGGCGGGTGCTGAGCTGGGCTCAGGATCGGGCCGGGGCTCCAAGCCGGCTCCGCCGCCGCAACGCCCAGGCTGGAAGAGGAGGCAGCGAAGCGGGGAAACCGCATCAGCCAGGGGCTGAGAAAGGAGGATGCGCTGCTCCGCCAGGGCAACCCCGCGCTGTAGCCGCCGCCGTTTGGTACCTGCCCGGGCAGAGCAGGGCCCCCAGCCCAGCGCAGAATGCCTTCAGTTGGAGGCAAGTCATTAGAAACAAGGGAAAAAAACCCACGCAGCACTACCTGATCACGGATACAAACATTTCATAAAATGAAAGCAGCAGCTTAAATGATTGCGAAGCCTAAAATACATGATGTGCCACACGCTACCCGCCCCCCCCCGTTTTTAACGCTCTCACGGCACTGAAGGGGTATCCTGACATGTCAGCAACAGACTCTGAGGACTTCTGGAGAGCAGCTGCTTAAGCATCTAAAAAGTGAGCACCGAAGAACAGGCATTAATACTTTCCTGGCCTTTTTCAGTTGATGGAATCATTTTCTTCATGGATGGACAATACTTAAATAATAAAAAGAAACTCATTCACATCTGTATGTTCATGGAGTTGGTACTTCTGTGCAGTTTTGTTTTTGTTGGTGGTTTTTTTTTTTTCATTTTACACCATCTTAGCTCTAGTTGTTTTGCTCTGACAATAGCTCCTTACTTCAGAGAGACACTCCAGCCCCAATTCAGCCAAGCACTTACACACAAGCTTAAGGAACTTCTCAAACTGGGCTCTCCGGTAAACACTGACAACATTTAAGAGCATTTCTCTTATCTGAAGCGCATTGCCTTCAGCATCACTTCTATCCTGCCATTTCCAGCCAGCCCTAGGTATTCCCCCACCCCTCTGCCTGTTTCCACAAGTAACTGTTTTTATTCCCGAGGATGCAAAGGAGCACAGGACCCTGCCCTGGCACTGCCCAGCATCTCCCCTTGCCCACCTGGTAGCGGGGCTGGCCGAGGCACCACGGTGCCCTAAGGTAAACGCAGGCAGTGTAAATTCACCGCCGGAGTGATCTCCGAAGCCAAAAAGGTACTTTCAATGTTTGCATCAAAAAAAAAAAAAAAAAAAAAAAATCCCATTTGACAACAGCATATTTTCTTTCTTGCATTCCTAAAAAAGGTCTCGGTGCTACTACTTCAAGGCGAGGGGCTGGGGAAGGCGAGGGCAAGGTCAGCACAGGATGCACGAACACCAGATTAAGAGCAGCAACATGAGCTTCAAGACATTCCCTGCTGACCGTAAGCTTCCTCACTCCTCCGAGCATGACCCGCAGGGGCTCTGAATTCACTAAATTTGGCAGTTCATAAACAGAGCAGCAACACCCGACTTTGGCGCTGAACTTTGGCAATGCAAATATTTAGCAATGGGTCCAGGATACATCTCCTCCACCAAGACAGACCGTCCCAAAAGCTGCAGGCGAACGGAAGGACCTGCGACCAGGGGGTGACTGTAGTGCCCACAGCCGTAGGTCAGCGCTCCAGCACTCCTCTAGCACCGTGTTTTAACAGGTTTTGGTGCCACATTTGTACATTCAGGCTTAAAACAGAGAGGACAAAAATACCTGTAGATCAGGAAGAAGAATGGACTACGCTGAGCTCTAAGGATGAGACAAGAGACGTAACGCCGTTGCGCTGTATGTGAGTTAACTGGGACACACCAAGAGGATTAAGGGAACAGATTCAACAAGAAGTCAGGTAACTTGAACCATCTGTGGTAAACATCACAACCTGAGACTGCTGCTGGAGACGAGGAAAGCAGAACTACGCAAAGAGAAAAGGAAACCAAAATTATTCTCAGCGTAAAATCCCGCCAGTCACAGCTCTGACCGGTATTACCATCACCTTTGTCAGTGCACAGCACTGTTCTGCTCAGAAATTGCCACACGTGCTGCGCAATAAAGTCTACAGCAAGAGCATTTTACTGGAGGGACACTGGAAAACAGAAGTAAGATACTTCTAAAAGGACACAGAAAGAGACCTTGAGAAACCAGTGCCTGGACTGAAATTCAAGAGAAAAGCCCACGGGGTTAGAATACCTGCGCTGACATTTAATTTTTAGTATCCCCCAGGAAAAAGTATCATAGGACTCTCTCTCTCCCTCTCCAGCCCTGATGCGGGACATCTAGCAGGCTTGCAAACAAGCCATATTTGTGCTCAAAAGCAAATGCCTAACTTCCTATTCAAACAAGTATAACCAAATTTTGCAACAGCAGAATCTGGATTCAAATTCGAGTGGGATGGGATGATGCTATATCCTACCAGAGACGTCAAGTGAAAGCAAATTCATTTCCCAGGCCTGTGTCCTGGAAGAATATAGGACTGAACATGTCAAAGTGAAACGCTTCGAGCGACAGGAGTGAGAAAAGGATGAAAAATATAGGACACGCGGCTCCAGTGAGGAATACATTCAGGAGCTCACGGTGCAGGCAGAAGAGCTGGAACCAGTAGAGTGCTGTGCCACAATGCTGGGCCTCACTGGTGTCACAGCAGCCTGGACGCGGGACGGCACTACCCACCGTACGGGTGTCTCGGCTGCGCCGCATCGCCCCGCCGGCTCACCGGCTCGTTCCCAGCAGGTCGCAAGCAGCTGGCAGAGGCTCACTGAGCATCCCGCTCACCACGCTGCGGAGTCGGAAAAATTACCTACGGGGACCGGTTAAAGAGAAGTTGCAGAAAGCCCTTTAACCAGAAAGGGGGTACTGGACAGAACTGAGCGAGGGTCTTCCAGCAGGTGGGATAGAAAAGTTCCTTTCCATACAGGCATGGCTCTGTAAGACTGAGTAGCCCCCTCGTAGCGTTCCTTCTTTGCTGCAGTTACCATTATTTCCTGGATATTACATAGAAGCTGTGAACCTTAATGCTGCTATCGCTTTCGGTTCCCACCACAGCAGCAAGGAGCGGCCCTGAGTCACCTGTGCGGGGCTGTGGTCGCTCAGTGGGGGTTTGCAAGAGCCGTGACGCTGCAGGAAGACAAACAGACATCGCCAAGTGGACATACAAGAATATAAATCTGCTGGTAGGCACGTGAAACCTAAGAGGAAGAGTTCTGAAGAAAAAAATGGAGCAAGAATCAAACTATGATGGAGAGGGGACAGAAGGCAGTTTTTAGTTAGAGTTCATTATCTATTTTTTTGCAGAGTTAACCTGATAAACAGCAAAGCTGTTAGTAGCCATTTAGAATCACTTAACATGTTCCTCTTTTCTTAATGTAATAACCGAGAGCTACTATATCACCCACCAGGAAAGGAAACATGTTTCAACTTCTCTTCCTTTCCTCCAAACAGTGTTTTGATGGCAAAATCCTTTTGGGATAACAGTTTCCCATGCATCCACAGATATTTTTTATTTTTTTTTAAACCACAGAATAATCAGTTCCTTGTATTAGCAAGTCTATAAATACAAACCAAGCAATGGTCCTTTTACCACAGTCATTTCCCTTTCATTCCTCAACAGACCTCTTGAGCACCACCGGGCTGTGACAGCTGACCACGCACTCACTCCTTCGGCGCTGGAGGGTGTCAGAGAGTGCATCCTTACGGACCGGAGCTCCCTGGTAACGGAGCGCCAGCTCTGACAATTCACGGTCACTGAAGCTCAGCGGTTGGGTTAGGAGAAACCTTCCTCCAGCCCAAACCATTCTGGGTATCGCTGCCTTATTTTTTCTCTTTTTTAAATTATTATTCTAGGAGTGCTCGATTCAGCAGGCGGAGAAGATAAATAGAAGCAACGGAGCTTCATCAAGGTGCTTTGAAACAGTGCCAGGTTTGGGATTTTACACACCTTTGCATGAATTATCTGTCTGCTACTGAAGTCACTTTCAGCTCTGTAACAGCTTTTAGACAAGCTATACTTCAGCTGCTCTGGGAAAAAGGTTTTGCTTGACTGACGGTTAATTTACCGTTCTCAGCAACTTCTTTCAGTCCTGTTCAACAGACAAAAATCTGACAGCAGAAAAATGAGAGATTTCTTTGAAAGCGAGACAGGGAGCCCCTCAGATCATCAATTTCAGGAGTTCAAGACATATTACAATTATATATTTTTTTAAATGATGTGTACGTTTTATGCTACATACTAAGAAGCAAGACAACTTCACTTCAAAGAAAACCCTAAACTTCCAGTCTACATATCTCGGGTAACCGAGGAACCTATCTGAGGATCAGCCAGCTTGATATCAGTCTACCTACACCTTCTGCCTGGGAAATCACCCGTTCACTACCACAACAGCTTTTCCACCTCTTGGGGCATTAAGGCTGTTTACAGCCTATAAAAGGACCTGCATTATACCTGGGTGTATAGCATACACTATACATAGCCTTTAGGTATAGTCTATCACTTGTATAATCTTTACAGCCTGCAAGTTAGATTTCTGGCATGGTAATCACAGCTATTTGGTTACTCACCCAATGGGTCTGCTCCTATAGATGTACCATCTGCCCTGTTAACGTGCCAAATCATCAAGTAAACATCATTTTAGGAGCTGGGCAGAAAAAACTGTTATTTTTTCAGCAGTGAATCTGGTAAATTCTCCGTTTCTGGGAAGCACTGAAACACTTTATGAGCTTGCTATTCACAAAGTTTGCAATTTTCAATCAAGCAAGGCTGTAAACATTTAAATAAATGAAAGCTTGCAATCCTGCCAACCCAACTAAAGCAGTTTGACTTGCAAAGAGATCTGTTTCCCCCCCAATCTGCACCCTCCCAAGTGATCTTAAAGCTCAGTAAACACAAATAGACCTTTAACTACCACCTGTATAAAAACAGAACGGTTATTCTACAAAAAAGGACAGGGTAAACTAATAAATATGCTGTAACTTGGTTTAGAAAATGATCTATACTTATAAATATAGTATTCTTCTTTATTTGCCATTGTTTGTGATAAGCAACTTGCTATTTCACTAGAAGTGAAATGCAGAAGCAATCTTTTTGCATCGCACCCTTCCGCTGCAGCGCACCGGCACAGCTACTTCTACCCTCTGCGCCGAGATACCTGCAAACTTCTGCAATACACTTCTGTCTCGTCAGTCACATTTTCCGCACTCCCGTCATTCCAAGTCCCCGCATCACACTGTCTCCCCATTGCCCTCTCGCAGAGAATGAGAAAGCTGTCCTCTGTCAAAAAAACCCAAGTGTGCAGAAGACCCGACAAAGGCATAGCGCTAACTCTGAGGTGCTCTCAGCACGGCAGAGTTTACAGTTCCCTTCTACGCAGTGCAAACAGCCACAAGTTCTTTCCTATCTCCTACCTGCGATACGCAGTTACCCAGAGAAAAAGAAGAAAAAAAGATAAGTTTTCTTAAGTTGGGGGGGAGGGATAGTATTTTTTGCTAATTATAAGAAGTTGTTTCATAAAATATAGTTTATCTCTGTTCCCATACATTATACTCTCTTCTTTATAAACTGTCCCTGCAGCGTCAGAACCCCTCTCCATACTTCTTCCCATAACCCTGCTTGGATTATTTGCAACACAAGCAATGCTGCACAATTCCCTGATAATTTTTTAATTTTTTTTTTTTTTAAATTAAATGCTCTACTTCCTGCCCCCAAACCCAAAACACACCCCCCCACACACACACACTCCCCGCAACCACCGTCTCAGTGATTCAGTCGGGATGGATTCACAGCATTGCTTACTCTGTGCAAGTGACTGAAGTTTTCCTTAATAGGCCACATAAAATCTTTTGTATCTCTGCCTTAGAAAACACATGGTCCCTGATGCAGATTAAGTATTATAAAGAAACAGGATTCTGTGGAAAAATGGTACAGACCTAGAAAACCACCCACCTCCATTTAAATTTCAATATCCAGTGTATGCAGACAATAGGTTCTTTCCCTCCTTTTTTTAAAAAAAAATAAAGCTACTTTCCTCTACTCAGTATCCTGATCACATGAAAAATAAAGATGAGGGCTGAGGGAAAAAGGAGTGGGGAAGAAGAGGTGGGAGAGTTTTCCATGAAGATGGCACTGTATCAGGAAGAATCATCTCAGCACAAGAGCCTCACTGAAACAGCTTTTAGTTTTAAACCAGTTCTTTGGAGAAAAACGCACAATCCCAATAAAACAATGTGACTTTGCTTCTGTGCACAGCCCAAGAGAGACGGTTTGAAATTGGTGGTAGGTCAGCCGTATTCTGATGAAATATTTTCATTGGTTCTCACAGTTTAGAGGCGACATTTAGCAGGCACACTTTTTCTCCTCCGGTTTTGCTGAATCTAGCTTTCCCGAGCTTCCTCCGTTGGCTGTGTCGGAGACCTGTGTCTTGTCCACGCACTGCTCCATACGCTTCATTATCAAGTCCAGAAGCGTGTCCACAGCCTTCTCCACGTTCTGTCCGGTAGCAGCACTTGTTTCGAAGTACGGTATGCTACAGTGAAAACGAAAAGGTTTGCTGGAGAGACTTTTAAAGACAACCCAGACTCAACTCTTTGTAACGCTCTCAGTGCAGCTATCAGCGGTGGGCTCAAGTGCAAAGAAATGAATGGGACAGAATTCTGGTCCGTCGGGACTCTATTTCCTTGCCGGGCAGAACCCAAACTCCTGTTCCCAGCACGCGGTGGCATGATGACCACCACATGAGCATAAAACCACCACATTTCATTTAGAAAAGGTGTCCTGGCACTTTGGCTTCAAATTGCCCCAACATCAGCACAAACCTTGGCTGAAAAAGTCTTTCGGGTAACCAGAAAGTCTGTTTTAAAGAGAAACCTAGTCCTGCATGACAGGAAGTTTCAGGGACCACAGAACATACCAGAAACCTTTTTTTGGGCAGATAGTTACAACTATTGCTCTTTAGCACTCCCTGTAAGTACCATCTCCCGCCCTTCCTGACTACTTACAAGCACAACTTCTCTTAGCTGTTTCCGTTCTGAAATCCCCTTTGAATCCAGACTATTGCCTTCCAAATCATCTTTTTCAGAAGAGAAGATTGTCAATTGCTCCAGCGCTTCCATCATATGAATTCTGGCATGAGCTACCTTCTCCTCAGTGCCACTGTCCTCCTTACCTGGCTGCAGACAACTCTTTAATATTTTTAAGTCCGATTTGCTTATAGCTCCTCACAGTCTCTCAGGGCATCTTCTGCTGCTGGCCCAATTCTCTTTGAACATCCCCCACTGTCTAGTGAGGGCAACCAAGGAAAAGAGTACGCGTTCTTTTTGCCTGTTTTGCTAACTATATTACCCAGCCAATTTATCCAGTTACAGGACAGTCTGCAGGTATTATTAGCGCAAATAAATGCAGAAGGCAGGCTCGCTAGAACATGAAAACGACCGTTAACAGCTTTACTATCCACCGGGGAAAACCAAACAAATTCAGTTCTACTGCACGCCTAGAACCTGACCAAAATCCACAGGTGTCTCCACTTCTAAACTAACTAGAAAAGCAAATTATAAATATTGTTAATTATTTAGTTCATGACACTCAGTGTTCATCTGCCTTTGTTATACTCTGTCCTGATCTCTCAGGACAAACCAACACCCCAAGAATGTAGTTTTCCAGTAAGAACATTCTATTTCAGCCTTAATTTTCATATTGTAATATTTTGGCCAAACTACAGCAACAGTGTGGTTCATTCTATCTATTTCCTATTCAAACAGGTCGGTCTGAAAGGGTGACAAGTTGGCTGTCACTATAGGTATATGTGGTACCACAATGCCTACAAATGTTAGAGTTGATAAGTATCTTTGCAAGTATCTCTAGGCAGTCATCAGCTACACGTACCACAGTTACAGACTAAATTTAGCTTCTGCCATAATTTGCTTACCCATATTTGTCTGCCAGGTCTTTCGCTTGCCTTTCGTTTACCTCCCTTTGGTCTGATAAATCAGCTTTGTTACCAATTAAGACTATATCTGGATTCTCACAATATGCATTGGCTTGCAGCTGACCTAGAAGCAAAAATAAACAGGAGTTAAGAGAATGTCGGAAGCGCCTTAGAGACCAAGACTGTTCACAAAATAATTCAAAATACCTTTCTTGCTCCCCACCTCAAAATACCCTAGACTAACCAGCCGACCACTTCATGCCAAACACATTTCCATGTCGTACGTTTACTTGCTAAGGGGAAATTTTCAAAACAGGAAGTAGAAATGGTACTAGAAAATTATTTCCAGTATTTATTTCATCAACATACAAGACTTAACTGCAATGAGGTGTACCAAACACAGTGCTTTAGCACAGGAGAACCTCCACCAGCCAGAACTTTTATTCTACAGGACTCCTAAGGACAGTGAGGAAGTACAAACAGTATCTCCCACCAGCTGCAAATGCAGCGCTTCAGAAGTTTAGGACAAAATCCTCACGTTCGTCTTTCTCTTGGATATACTCAATGGTTTAAACGCAGTTTGATCCATTTGAAGATCCAGGCATAAGTACCGTCCATAGCTCCCCCCCTCGTAAGTAACTGTACAAAGCCATTTACTTATAGATGCCTCAATCCTGAGGGGACTGACTCGAAAAGGCGCAGTGTATACAGAAGAAACTACAGACTCGGCTTAGTAAGTAGAAGAAGATTGTGAGGACACATTATTTAGTGGGAGGATGGAATCTCTGAAGGAGAAATGTCGCTGCTAGATAGAATCTGATGTTTTCACAAAGCTATCTGGATTCTCACGTTATCCCCACTTCAGTTTGTTTGCTGGAAAACCGCCAGATGGAAATGTATTGGCCTCTGTCCTTCCAGCACTCTAAATACCCTCAATTAAAAACAAACTTTAAGAATTTAACCTTTGTTTCACTTTTCCTCTAGCTGTTGTCTGAAGGAAAACCAACAACAGCAAACACTATGTGCTTTCAAACTAAATCCTCAAAGCCCAATCTTAATTTTAGTTTAAATCTCAAAGCAGACAGGAAGGAATCACATTCTGCTTTACAAATAGAAAACACAACATAAAGGTAACAGCAATATCCAAAGTACAGTTTCCAAGCTCCTGTATGTCATCTAAAATATGGGGTATGGCCAAGGAGCTGTCGAATGCCATGAATTTTCAAGAGGCAACAGATTTATCCAAATTGTACCAAGTCCAAACAAGATTATCAAGAATATGCGCCAAAAAAAAAAAAAAAAAGAAGAGCATGTATCTTTCCAATTTGATGAAGCTTTCACCCCAAATTACAGGCTGCAAGCACCCCACTTATGGCTGCACTAGACATAACTACTTTCTTTGAGCATTTTCCAGCTCACCAACAGTGACACCTGTAAAGCTTAGAAACCTAAAATACACAAGGAAGTTTCAAGTCAACCGATAAATGCAAGCTCTATGGTTCTACTTACTCATCCAATTTCTGACATTTAAGAAGCTCTGTTGACTGGTGAGATCAAACATTAGCAAAAAGCCCATAGCATCTCTGAAAAACGCTGTTGTAAGACTTCGAAATCTGAAGGCGGAAGAAAAAAGACAACATAGCTCTATTAATGCAAAGTGATGTCTAAGGTAAGCACTTTTCTGGCAAGCCTGAACTGAGTGAAGGAAAAAGAGGTAAAGTAAACCTTTTATGAATTGCTTGTGCAAAAATTCTGTTTAAAAAGTACCTTGAAATCTGAAGAGTCTGCAAGATTTAGTGGACGTACATTCCCTTGGAAGTAAAAACAAAGTAAAGTAATCCTTGACTTTCATTTTGGCTACGATGCATCACACCAGTCAACATTTATTAATCAGTGTTAGTAATTTACCAGAGGAAGCTCATATGTGAGAATATAAACATTGTCAGTGACTAATCTATTAGTTCAAATTCTGCCTGATTTAACCGAGAGTGAGATGGAGAGAGGAGTTGGTTAGAAGAAAAAAAAACAAAAAACAAACATACTGAAGCGTTTAGTGCATCACAGATCACAGTGATAGAAATGGATTCACCTGCTGAGACTACACACACTTAGTCGATGAACGTGTGCTTCTCAATAAAGTCAGTATTAAAGAAAACAAAGGAAGAGTAGGTGGCTGTTTACGTGCTTTTGATTGTTCGATGTGACTGTCTGCTGGGAAGCTCAGCTAAAAGGAAAAGGTAATCTTTCCTTGCAGAGCTCTAGCACGCATGCATGTTGGAAGCAGACCCACGTAAGCGTGCATTCACAAGGGACACGGTTCACAGGCTTCCTGCAAAGCCACGGAGCTGGATGAAACTGCAAACCAGGAAACGTAACTCTGTTTGTCACCAAAAGGTCACAAGCCTGTTCAAATCAGAAAGATGAAGAAAGTCCAAATAACATTAAAACATCTGAAGCGTGCTGGAAAACTGCGCAACGGCACTCTGGTGTTCTGTATACAGCAGGGATCTATCGCATCACAAAACAGCGCTATATAACCTCGCACAAACCAGCAGTACCAGAAATTTTAAGTGGTATTTTACACCACGCACCCCTGACCACTTAAAAAAAGCTCCCACAGAAACATGTCAGATACCTGACCCTACTTGTAGGGTTTCTTCTCAGGAAAAACAAAAACAAAAAAAAAAGTAGCCTCAAAATGTTTAGCCTCTTGCAGAGCTGTACACACAAACAGTGTTTGAAAATAAAAGAAAGAGGTGCAGACACAAAATTTCAGCTTTCTTCTGCTTTTCATCCAGCAGCAACCCCCCCCCACTGCTCACTCTGAAAACCTGACATCTGCCTCATCACAACTTTCCTTCCTCCCCACTGGGCAAATGCTTCAGTCCGCTGCTCTTCAGTCACTATTACACTGCAAATAGGTGTGAGTCACATTTTCTTCCCCTGTTAACAGATGACATCAGTAGTGGTACCAAGGGCAACCCCACGCACTTTATGACAGTGAAAACCAGCGTACGTAACTAGCCAGGGGAAGCTTAAGAAAGCAGTATGCACACTTCTCCCTTTAAAAAAAAAAAAAAAAAAAGGATCAAATTTAATAGCGACAAGTCAGAAGGTCTTTGGGAAGAACAAACTGTGCACGCAGAAGATGGGGAACAACTGGTTCGATAAAAGAATCCTTTGGCAAAGGAGGATTCTGGTCAGTTGTGAACTTAACCCATGTCAACCACAGTACACTGCTGCAAAGAAGGCGAACACAACCAAAACTATAAAAGTAAGGTAAGAAGCAATTCTTTCATACTACTCAGCACTGGTGAGACTTGAACTAGAATTCTCCATCCCACTCGCGTGCTGGTGGTGAGAGGGGCTGGAACAGGCCTGGGGCAGTACAGAACAGAAAGCTTGCTCATCAAAGACAAGTCTGAGCAAGCCTGCGACACGTAAACTGGAGAGGACTTCAGAAGTCATCAGGCTGCTCAGGATCTTGTCTACCTGAGTTGTGAACACCTGTGAGAACACAGACTGCACAGCTTCTGAGAGCCAGTTGCTCCAGGGCTTAACCACGGTCAACACTGGTGTCCTTCTCGCTAACTGGAATATCCTTGCTGCTGCTTGTGACCGTCGCCTCTTGCCCTACAGCTGTGCGCCTGAGGAGAGTCTGACTTTGCCTTCTTCGCTCCGGGTAGATGAAGACAGCAATTAGCCTCCCCTTAGTCATCTTCTCTTGAGGCTGAACAACCTTAGCTCCCTCAGCTCTCACCGTACGCCTCTGCCTCCCGACCTGCTCTAACGGCACTCCACGGGACTTCAGTTTATCAGTACAAAGTATCCCACACTGATGTTCCCAAGAACAGAAACAGTACTCCAGATGTGGCCCCAGAAGCGCTGCATAAAGGGGACTAATCACTTCCCTCAGTCTGACGGCTACATGCGTACCAACGCAGTCCTGTACGCTGTGCACCTTCAGCAAAATATGCCTTACCAGCCAACCGAACAGAAAAAAAACGTGGAATACAAGAACAAGAAACTTAGGTAGGTCATACCGTATCTTCCAGAGGAAATTTGGAATGTGTTTTGAAGCCAAAAATAACAGTACAAAACAACCCCCCAAAAAAGCTAACCAACAAACTAATAACCCAGGTGTGCCAGAAATGTGCTGCCGAGGCAGGGAGCAGACCACCTTCAGTTCCTCCAGTCCTATTTTCTGAGATACTCTGATCACTGCATCAAAGCAGCATCAGAAAAAAACTTTATTCCTGGAAGATGTTTTTCTTGTCCTAAAATACGAGGATTTCTGATGGTTTTCACCTCAATGGACTAATGGTTTACCCAGAAATGTGAAAAAAATGAGAACTGCTTTCCAATGAGCTGAACTCCATTACCTTTCCTGTCCGGCTGTGTCCCAAAGCTGGAGATGTACTTTGAAGGCTTTTCCTGGAGATCCATTTGGTCCTCTGCTGTTGTATACCTAATGAGAGAGTCAGATCAGCTGTACAGCTCACACTTAAATCCATCGTTTGGGTCACAGACTTCTATTTTGTGCAAGCAGTAAGTAAGGAGTAAAAGTTCAGTCCTTCAGTAAAAGCTGACTCTTACCTCTAAAAGCCACTTCAGAGGGCTGCTTATAATAATATTTAAAAACCCAGAAGCCACATGAAACATCTACGAAAGCTGCACTTTAGAAGATAATTTGGTCATATTTAGTACTTCAAATTAGATAGCAATTCTTTAAAACTTGGCATAGCACTGTGCTGAGCAAGCTGTCTGTGTTCTGTTTCATTGCTGTTCTTACAAAATTTACAGCTGGCTGACAGAATTAACCACTATTATAAAAAGCTATTTTTTCTTCATTAACCTCTGTTGGACATTAATGACTTCTTCACTAACTGCAACTGCAAACTCATAGCGCTTAAAGAAATCACAGTGACCTTTTGCTGGGGCTCAATTCTTTATTAAACAGAACCAGTGTGTAAATTAGCTGCAGTAAAAAAACCAGAGGGATAAACCAAGTAGGAGCCATGTGTTATCTGTGGTAGTTTAGCAGACTCCCAGCAATTTTAAAAGCAGGCAAATATTGCCCTTGCATTTAGATCAAGGGAATATGGACTTTATGGAGATGTCTGTATCCAGAGGCTGCACTGGCCTTAACCGGGGAAGCGGAACACTTCCTCACCTTCCTCCCCTGGGCTGCGAAATACAGCATTTATTTCTCCTGCACAACCAAGTTAATACCAACTGGGGGTTGGACTAGATGACCTCCGCAGGTCCATTCCAGCCTAGACTGAACAGTGATTCTGTGGAATTATTTAAACTATTGTCATTTCAACGGGTAGCCTCTGACTGCAACGTGCCTTTCTCTCCTTTCTAGCAGGTGCCTGATCTGAAAACCAGAAAAGAATCAGTGGATCAACCGCACCGCGGTTGTGAGTTAAATTGCTTTGCTGGAGCACGTTCCTGTAATATTTTGCATGATAAACAATCTCACCAGGTCATTTTTTAATATGGCTTTCACACAACAGAAAAACACACATATTTAACCTTTTGGACCTCTTTCTTGGAGGACAATTTATTAGGTAGACCTTCAAGACATTTCAAAGCTGGTAATTTCGTGTAAGATGTAGTTTCTTCCACACTTATAAACTATCTCTACAAAATATACGGTAATGGAAAATTACGGAAGAACTCTGTCTGCAACCTTTAGCAGAAAAGTTCAACCTTCTGGAAAGAATCCAGCACCCATGTTCAAAACATGTTAATGAGCGTCTGATCAGCCA